TTTCTTGTTCTACCCGGATGATCTCAAGCAAAGAAATTGAATACCTATACTGTTTAGATCATAACCAATTTTTACTGTTTTTTATTCCAATGCATAAATATTTTTTGCCATCTCTACATAGATTTGAGTTCTTTAACATATGATCCAAGTGAAGAATCTGTTGACCATCTCCATTTGGCACATCACCATTTACCATCCAATGACTCTTTGGATAGTAAACTTGTTAAGAATAACTACTTGATTAGGAAAATTAATAGTTGAACTCCTTGTATCGTAAAACAAGAAAAGTTTGGCTACTTATTAACTACCTTTGCCAATAGAAATCAATTGAATACTCCTTTACAAGTTATGAAGATGGTGTCTGTCTTTTAAGAAAAACTCAAGATATAGTGATTATTAGGGAATTCATTCCCTGACTTGCGCAATAATCTATGAATCTTTTGTATTAATTTAATTGTTAGTTTTAGTTTTTCCTTTTTTGCCATTAACTTTTACAGTGTATTTTTTCTTTTTTTTTTTGGCAAAGTATTTTTTCTCGTAAGATGTTCAGTCAACAAGTTAATTATTTTGCCATCTCAGCACAAAATTCCAATTTACAGACCGGTTAACTATCTTCATTAGCCACGTCACCATTTACCATCCAAATACTCCATGGATAGTAAAAATGCAAAATTCAACCACTTGATAAGGAAAATTAAAAGTTGGACTCCTTGTATAATAAAACCATATAAGTTCGGCTCCTTATTAATTAGTTTTGCCCCATCATGGCGTACTTAAATAGTTTTTATGTACTTTTAAATTAATATATTAATAATATTTTAAACAATTTTAAGAATAAATTGTTAATTTTAAAAATTAAATTTTGTTTGAAAAACACTTATTTACTAAAGAATATAACTCTTGAATTTTATTAGCACGCAAGTTAATTTTATTTGTAATGTAGTCCCAGTCTCGCTATGCTAGGGATTTTGTCCTAAATTTTTATTAATTGATTTATTTATTTTTTTATTTTATAAAAAATGAATAAATTTTAATAAATTCCTCCTAATTTTTAAAAATAGGATAGGTTCCAACTTTTTTCTGTTTTTTTGACAACAACAGACTTCATTATTTAATATGAGTTTTATTAATTTATCAATTTAAAATTTAAAATGATAATATAATAAAATTAATTATGAATTTAAGTTAAAAATTTAATAAAATAAAATTTGAACTCTAAATAAATGAGATAATCTAAAAGACCTTTTTTTTATATATAAAATGTCAAATTAGATTTAAGTGACTAATTACCTTGTTCCAAAAAAAATTAAAGCTTTAACTATTCCTCAGTATATTTGGATTTTACTTTCTTTAATGGTTTTATTAAAGAATTGTCATTCTCAGTAGTATAGAAAATATTAGAGCATGTACAATAAAGAATAATTAAAAACTCATTTTATTGTCATATCATCATAATTAACATTATTTTATATTAACTAATATTTTTGTATATTTAATTCTCAAATAGAATATATAACAAAACATTTTTCCTTTAGTGCAAGAAAGTTTATTACGTCACAGTGACGTTACGTAGGATATATTTCAAGTCAATTACGGATTAACACGTAATTATGTTGTGAAGCCATTAGACATTCAGCTTAACGTGCCTTTCTCCTATTTTTTACATCGTTTGTGTTTGGCTGAACCCCTAAAGTTGCCTATCAAATAAAAATGCAAGGACAAATTTGCCCTTAAAAAGTTTTGGACATCTAACAAAGAATTCCTCCATCAAGTGAAATTCAGTGAGTTGTCGTTGTAGGATGATGAGGTGTTTTGATTTGAATCGCTGTCATTCTCTTATTAGAATTATATTATAGAATTTCTCTTTCAATACATATATAT